CTATAGACTCCATCTCTACAGGGTTCATCTTCTGCAGCAGCACTTTGTCACATCAGCACTAATATCTGAGGGACCCCGTGTCATAGATTTGGTGTGATGTTTAATTCATTATGTTTTACATATTGCATGGCGTGAAGTTGTCAGACGGTTGTTTATGTAATCGGAGACAGAACTTTCCGTCTGATATGAATTTATTAAGAAGAAAAAAGCCACAGCTCCTTGTTTCTACTCCATAAGAGACCGTTGTGACTCCAAACAGGAAGTGGATCAGTTTCAGGCAGTAATCCAGATACAAAGATCCACTCAGATGAAGCGAGACGTTTCTGACCGTACATTCCAACCCTGGAGACGGACTGTTAGATAAAAGGCAGAGTTTATGCTTTTAGGATGACCTGAGACTGACAGCTGTGATCATCCGTCCTGTCTGGTACTGATGTGAAACCAGAAGCTCAACCTGAGAGAAACTCAAGCTCCAGCTGATGCAGGAGGTGCAGCGCCGCTCTGCTCACGGTGCTCCTGGAGCTTTAGCCGAGGAGGACGTAGGGAGACACCGACTGCATTTAGCTTTACTTCTTTTATATCAGGTTGACTTCAGACTCTTTATAAACCACACAGCAGACAGACGTGACTGCTTGGTTCTTGTTTTCAGCTAATCGTTCTTTTCTGCGTCCGTCTAGGTGTCGACTCTGGACGGAGTGCTGGAGGTTCGCAACGAGCACTTCTGGACCGTTGGCTTCGGATCTCTGGTATGTTTACAATCAGTCTGTGAAGCTGTCAGGTGGCAGCTGGATGCAGTTTTAGATCGTTTCAGTCGGTGAAGGACGAACCCAGAAGGGGAAGCTCTGGGTTGTCTTCAGACGTTGGTCCGATCCGGTGGTTCCTGTGTGAACCTACTGAGGACGTCTGATGATCAGGCTCATTACAAACAGCCGACTGGCTGGTTTCAGAAACATCACCTTGTCTGTGTTTTTGTAGACGAGATGCTCTTCAAGTGTTCAAAAGGTTCTTGTGATGTGACTGAAAGCCTCCAGAACCGCTGATTCATGGATGTCTCGGTGCCGTCATTCCCTGATAGAACGATTACAGTCGGTGAACAGCAGACTGGCTTCGTCCAACAGTCATGTGACAAACATTCAGAGAGTTTCAGGTGAACTGGAGGCAGAGTTCCTGAGAGGAAACCAAACCTACTGGATCAGTAAGATGAACGCAGCACGGCTCATGCATGGTGACCAGAGGCTGTTGGAGATACATCCAACACGGTGGGACGTCTGTCTGGGTGGAGATGTACTGAGCATGTAGATACCACATGCTGGTATCTACAGCATCTTGTTCACCTCCAGAAACTCTTGGAGGAATCATGCTGTCCATGTGACTCCTGCTGTTTGTCTCCATCTGTTCAAACCAGTCAGAACATTCATGATGATTTGTGTCGTTGTGACTGAGTCCTGCTGACCAGAAGACCTCATCTCTGAGTTCTCTTTGCTCCTGGTCGAGCTGCTTCCATGGAGGTGACCAATGAGCCCACAGTGAGTAGAACTGGAGCAGGAGGGTGGTGAGCTGATCGGACCCGGCTCAGTCCTGGTCCTGAGGCTGTCTGGGCCTCTGATCTCCTGGTGTCTCGGCGTTCCTCCTCCGAACACCTCGGCTCTGTTTTGTTTGTTTCTGGATGTCTCTCCCTGCCCTCCACCTCCTCCCCTCCTCCTCCGTCTCGTTCGTCCTCCTTCGTCATTCGATCTGCAGGGATTTGTTCATCCAGACGAAAAGAAGGAACAAGTCATTCATGCGGAGAGTTCCCTCCTCTCTCCTCCTCCTCTGGTTTTTGGAGGGAGCGCTGCTGCCGTCGTCTCTGTTGCTGCTCCATGTCGCCAAACAAGCCCAGCTGGCGTTCAGGGCGGCTGAGGTCTGGGAAACACTCTCTCCTCCGTCGTCTGTTTTACAGCCTCTTTAGCTGTTCAAGGCTCACACCACGACAACGGCAGCAGCAGCAGCAGCAGCTCGGTTTATTATCAGGCTCGTTATCCGGAGAAGATTTCTCACTGAGCTGCACCGCTGTTGGTTCGTTTCTCGCTTTTAAACGTCACGTTTTGTCAGAGATGCAAAGTTTAAAGCAGCTTTCAAGATCGGTTTTCACACTTGCTCTGTTTGTTTAGGCCTCTGATCT